ACAACTTTAAAGATGATTTTCTCAATATTTAGATTTTTTTGCACCCTCAGATTCCAGATTTTCAAATAGTTGTATCTCGGCCAAATATTGTCCTATCCTAACAAACCATACATCAATGGAAAGCTTATTTATTCAGCTTTCAGACGATGCATAAATCTCAATTTCGAAAAATTGACTCTTATGACTGGTTTTGTGCTCCAGGGTCATTCATATGCCATTTTGCTTTATGCAGTATGTGTGTAAAATGGCCATAAATGGGTTTTCCTATTATATACAATGTATCTAATTTGCATATTAATGTCTAATTGTGGCAACATTATTGTAATAATGGGAGTAATAATTAGCAAGACTTTCATAATAATATCTAGTATTTCATAGGAGTATTGAAATATAATTTCTTTCCCTATTCGCTTGTTGCGTCTCCCAGAATGCCTAATAAACACTCTTTTAGTCCTGCTGTCCTCTACAGTGCTCATGAATGAAATCAATGTGCTGTTTCCTAACAGAAAGTCATATTCTGATTTGAAACCTCACTACATGAGATGTTTATTCCTGGGTCGCAGGAGCTTAAGCTAGCGGTCTCTGTGAGCTGGAGATGCTTCTGGTCACCTGATCAGCCCTGAACGCTGTCCGCCGTGCCGTTCCCGTAACCGCCTTTAGATTTCATCTGCGTCTGCACCGAGTCCACCTGCTCGACACACAGCAGAAAAATCAGTTCAGCACGACTCAGGATCTGCTCTGAGAACAGATCTGGGTCATTATTAGCCAAATCTGTTCTTTACTAATAAACACATGGAGTGTAGAGTGAAGCGAGTCATTCGTCATCATGCAAACACAGCTTATTTATGTGGCTTGTGCAGCAAAACAAATCTCACAAATCCTCGAGAATATTTCACAACAAAGACAATCATTGATTGATTAGAATTATATGTGACCCTGGAGCACAAAAGCAGTCATAAGGGAGCAAAAAAATCTAAATATTGAGAAAATCATCTTTAAAATTGTTCAAATGAAGTTCTTAGCAATGCATATTACTAATCAAAAATTAAGTTTTGATATATTTACGGTAGGAAATGTACAAAATATCTTCATGGAACATGATCTTTACTTAATATCCTAATGATTTTGGGCATAAAAGAAAAATCGATAATTTTGACCCATACAATGTATTGTTGGCTATTGCTACAAATATAACTGTGCTACTTATGACTGCTTTTGTGCTCCAGGGTCACAAATAATATTTTTAATTTGTTTTCATTTTTAGATTTTTGATTTCATTTAAATTTTTAGTTTGTTTTATATATTTATTTATTTATAACTATAAAAACCCTGATGTTTTGTATTTAAGTTTTTTTTTATTTAAAGTTTCTGAATCTGAGGGTGCAAAAAAATCTAAATATTGAGAAAATCATCTTTAAAGTTGTCCAAATGAAGTTTTTAGCAATGCATATTACTAATCAAAAATTAAGTTTTGATATATTTACGGTAGGAAATGTACAAAATATCTTCATGGAACATGATCTTTACTTAATATCCTAATGATTTTTGTCATAAAAGAAAAATTGATAATTTTGACCCATATAATGTATTGTTGGCTATTGCTACAAATATACCCCAGCGACTTAACACTGCTTTTGTGCTCCAGGCTCACATTTATAAAAGCTTTTTAAAGCACTCCAAAGATGAAATAAATAAATAATTGCATTTAATAACACATAATATATAAATAATAAAAATAAATAAAATATAAATAATTGTATCATTTTCATTATATTTAATAAGTATGCAATAATGTTTTACATAGATAAATAAGGGATTACTGTATTTTTCAAATTCTCATTACATTTATGGCAAAAAATAATGATGTTTATACGTGAAGGGAATACTTGTTTAATACCAAATTTAATTTATGCTGATTTAAAAAAAAAACATTAGTCATGAAAACCTGCATAAATCAGCATATTAGAATGATTTCTGAAGATCATGTGACACTGAAGACTGGAGGAATGATGCTGAAAATACAGCTGCGCATCACAGAAATACATTACAGTTTAACAGATATTCACATAGAAAACAGCTGTTTTAA